CCGCCTAGATATAATCTATCATTTGTTTTCTCGCCATATTGATGAAGCAATCCCTTTTTTTTTCCAATACAAAGCGAGAGCAGGGATTGTGTTGCAGCTGAAAATGAGAAAAAAAGCTTTCATCTATTTGGCTGGACGAAAGTATTGTTGGCCCATAAGTTATTGTTTAGAAGTACAGCTTCATTTCTTTGATGGTACAAATTATAAAATGGCTTATTGTAAATTCCTTTTCAGCTGTTTTCCTATATTCACATGCATGTTTTTTCTCCTCTGCAATAACTTAAATAGATCTCAAACTGGTGTCAAGGACAAAAAGAAAAAAGAAAGACCCCGAAATAGACAAGGCTTATCAGTTTGGGAATGGTTCATAGCACAAGCGGGAACAATGGCGTGGCGAGATGGGAGCTAAGGTTGACCCTAATAATGCGACTGGTCCCTTCAAGGAACCCGGAGAACAGGAAGCCCACTGTACTTCTGTCTTAATGGATAAAGTCATAAAAATGATAAACACGGGGTGTCAATTAGTCTCCGTCAGGTTTGGGTCGTGCCAGTAAAAGTCAAGAGATGAAAGGGTCAGCTCCCCCGTCGGGCTGACCTCCCCGCTGGTTTCCCTGAGGAAACCTGCGCTGTCCCTCTTCCTGATTCATCGGTCAATCAAGACGTTCTATTAATAGCGTCATCTAGAAAGGGTGGGAGAAGAGAAGTGAAAGCACAAGTTATAAAATGTGAGAAAGTCACCCTGAGAGCGAAGGGGGAGTGTAAGTCTACTACAACTTCCTATTTTAAAAGGCTAATCATCGGATTACACTCCACGGATGAATTAACAAAAAGTCGAATGGGACGAAGAAACAGTCAGATGATCATGTAGTTTTTGGAAAAAATCCCAGGTTTGCTTATTTTAATCAAAGAGAAAATTAGAATTTCCAATGAAAAAATGCATCACAGTTTATACACCCTGGTTGACCTGAGACTCACTTGTGCATAAATAATACACAAGTTGGAAATAAGTCGAATCCATTGTCCCTGTTCCACATTTTGGGATTTACACTTCCTCTTGTTTACTTCAATACCACCATCATGTCTTTGAGATGTGAAGCTGCAGCCTTTGGACGGTTAGCTTAGCTTAGCATAAATACCGGAAACGAGTGGAAACTAGGTGGTTGCAGATTGGTTCTTAAGAGTTGTCAACTTAGAATAATAATTGTCTTATAAATAAGACAATAAAAGTTTTTTTTTGTTTTTTTATGTGTATGTTCATCTTTGGCAAAGGCCTCTTCCCACATTTGATGCAACTGATTGAAAGTCTAACACAGCATTTACATTATAATTCTACATTGCATGCGTCCTGTGTGAAACTACGGCATTATGGATGTTCTCAGGAAAGAGACTTTGATTATTTTACTTTGTTGCTTCCGTTTTATTGTTGGCCGACCCCTGGCCGCTGGCGAACCCCGAGGTCACCACAACTCGTCGTGAAAAGTTTCCAAACATCCTCATGTTAGCACGACTAAAGGCATATTTAAGACTCGCCTTGGAACCGGGCCTTCGGTTTGGCCAAACAGACGAGAGGACACGGCGGATGTGCTCATCTCCAAACAGAGACAAACAAGAAATGCTTTTCGTCGGCGAGGCATCTTCACTTTGCGGGGGCCGGATGGCGAGGACATCAGAAATGTCGTCTTCGCCCAGCGCGGAGTGAGCCGGCCAATAAACACGACAGGGCCGAGTAGATTCCCACCTGATTCCCGAGCAGATCCCCGACAGATTAACGCCTCCAGAACAATGAGACGAGAGGGGAGACGGCTTCCTCTGTGTCCCCGCTCGTCTGAGGGAGACAACAGCGGCGGTGCGACCCTTTCTGCGGGGGGTTTCGGGTGTGTGCTCTCGGGCGAGGAGACTTTCCCAGCAATCCACCGAGGGAGGGGGAACGCCGTACCGCCGATAACACGTTTGTGCATGTGAGCGAGGTTCGTTTCTGTGTGATTTCCTAGATTTTCAAGTCCCCAATTTTTGTGACCAGAGAGGTACCAGGGGGGGGAAAACATGATCAAACACAGACTTTCATATCCTTTTTGAGAAGGAAATATAACCGCCTTGACCTGTGGATGACCTCCCATATCTGCAATCTCCCTGGTGGGATGATTCTCAGGTTGCTAAAGATCAACCACCAACTAAACAACCATGAAGACGTCACAGCTTCCAGCTACTCATCCCCGGCACAAGAATTAAATTCCTAAGTGACTTTATTTGTGTTAAAACTTCCAGCTTCCAGAACAAGTGTTATTTCTATTTGCAGCTTTGCATCTTTCGCTCCTCATTTGTCTTCTGCACACCTGCTCTGTGCACCCCCTCTTTATCCTCCTCATTCTCTGCTGCCGGCAAAGGCCCCCCCCCCCTCCCCCCCCATCCTGAAACACCTCCCGCTCCTCAGCAGGTGTTGGAGGGAAGTCATAGTCTAATCAGATAATCGAAACAATCACCATCTCGCCGTTGATAGAGACAAAGATCCACACACTGGCTGTATGGCTGCCAATTCATTTTCTACAATACACATGAAAAAAAGGGTTGTGATCTGGGTTTGACGTGTGGCTGCGACTCACCACGGTTGCAACTGTGGATACATTTAAGAATAATTCGTTGGAGTTCAACACAAACCCTCTTTTGTAGGCGAGACGCCCAAATGTGAAGTATTTTTCATCATTAGATGATTTTGAAGCGTTTTTAGAAGCTGCAGTAATCAACATTTTTTTTTACATTAACAATGGATCAAAGTCTTCCCTCAGCTTTGGGAGCGCTTTAAAGTTGTTAAGCTCTTCTTTTTTTTTTTTGTCTTTTAAGACTTCAAACTGTTTTGTTTTGAGTCACCGCTCTCATCAACATTGTAGTCAACAGATTGTGGACAACCTGCTGAGCACCAGCAGACACACACAGTCACACATGATCCACGACAGAGAGGAAGAGGGAAGGTTCCGCACACCTATAGCTGTTTTTCTTCTTCAAGATTAACAGAAACAAATGATATATCATCAAACTGACAGCAAATCCATTTTCTGTTATTTGACTATTTCACAAATTCACTAAACATCCTCAAAGTGGTTCAAGCTGGAGAGTAGAGAGTCCCTAAACATTTGCCACTAATTAGAGTATTGTTCAAACTCTGGGCACTTTTCCCTTCTGTGGCTTTGTCCGGCTCGGGGGATCAGCGGCGAGCGCTAACACATATACGCCTTCCGTCCATGTGACTCAAACTAGCAGCGCTGCCTCGCCGCGCGGCACAAAGGAGCCAGCGGGCACATTGTGCAATTCCCAAGGAAGCCACCCTCAGACGTTCATGCAGCGAGACTGGCGACCAGCAGCCCAACGGCGTTCCAGCGCTCACTCGGAAGGCGGACAGTTTAGTGCTGCTGCGCCAAGGACAGGAAGTGCTCGCGGAGGGACAGGAAGTGCTCACCGCTGCAGTAGCCGAGGCTGGAACTGAGATAATGCCATTGTGTAAGCAAGCCGGGTGACCTCTCCCTGAGCGCTGAGTCCAGAGGCTGGCGTCGTGAGCCCCGGCCCCCACCCAGCCCCAGACTCCCCAGGCACGGGGCGTGGGACTCGGTGGTGGAGGGAGGAGGACGGGGATGTGGGGGAGTGTGGGGAGGTGGGGGAGGGGGGGGGGGGGGGGGGGGGGGGGTTGGACCATATCAGGTCATGAGCAGTAAAATAGACGATGACAGTATTATAGTCCAGATCCTGTCCCATGCATGGACCCTCCATCCAAAACACCCTCCCACCGACGGCTCCGATAAGAAGCGGCCTGTGGGTGACGTTTGGGCTTCTGACCACAAACACGGGCTTCGTTCTCCGCCCTGAAAACACTCAGCGTGGGGACGTTTGAGGTGCAACAGGTTGCTTTGACCTTTTCACCATCATGTCACCGGTCTGGTCCGGCACAGACGGTCCAAAAACAAGCAGTCCCACACATATTTTTTTCCTTTCTAAACTCAGACAAAGTTGATTGATAAAGCAATGAAGTGAATCCACTCAGGTAATAAATCATCCTAATCAACTAGGAAATAACACTTTAGGTAAAACACAACTTAAAGCTGAACACAACAAAAAGTATGAATTACTTTTTCATGCTTTTGAATATGGTGCTTTATTTTTAATCATTACAGACTTTGCAATATTACCATTCTGTGCCATTGTGTAAATAAAAATGGCCTTTTTTTCCCAGACAGAACTGTTCTGATCGTAAATACCGAAAAAGCACACAACTTAATCAGCTGTTTGTTGTGTTCATTAACATCCCAGACCGACGTCTAGTCGGATAACGACAGCGTATCCACAAATGTTTTGACATCTGAGCCACAGCCGAAGACCAAAGCGCTCCTGTATCGCCGTATTTTACAGCCGTTTTGTTGTCAGATGCTTCATCCCTTAGCAAACACGTAATGGGGTTTATTCAAGCTTTCTTATTCACGCTTATTGATGTGAAGCTTTGAAATCCTTTGTCCGGTGCTTCTCATTAGGCCGCATCAAAGAAAGTCACCATCGGGACGATTGCGCGTAAAAGTTGCGAACGAGGGGGCCGTTCACTCCACGCGTAAACCTGATATTCATCACTTTAAGACGCTTATCCCCCCCGCCCCGCAATACACACACCGTCCATCAAGTGTGTTGATGTCTGCGCTTCGGTGTGAGTCTATTAAAAGGGTGAGAATTATAACTGCACTAAATAAACGTGATTGTAGATGAAAGAGTTCTTTCCTCTCCCGAAGCAGTAAACGGGACACATTGACAACTTTGTACTTCACCTTTGTTTTCTTTCTCTATAAATACTTCATCTATATGTCTGTATTATTTATAGTTAGTACATATTAGAAACCTCACGGTGTCTTTCCTTTTTTTTTTTCCTCCAGGTTTCAGCGGCTCCAACGAGGGTCGGAGGCGGACTGCTGGAACTTTTTTACACCTTTGTAGCAGCGGGCACTCCCACCACACGGTGATTGGCTGCCCGTGAGTTTATAGCGGAGCAGCCTTCACATCCACCACCGAGTATTCCGCGCACTTCAGTCCCGGCGACTCCCGCGAGTGTCTTATGGATGTGACCGATTGTTTCACCAGCGTTAAAGCCAGACGCCGCGCCGCGTTCTTTGCACCTGCCCGTCGGTCCTCCGACGTAGCGCGCCGCGCCCCGGTGGCTCTCCAAAACCTCCCAGGTGGACAGAGATGAGTAGTCCCGATGCGGGTTACGCCAGCGACGATCAGACCCAGGCAAGGTGCGCGATGTCAGCCATGATGCCTGGAATGGGACGCTGCCAGTGGGCCGACCCTCTCAGTCCCCTCGGCGACGCCAAAGTGAAGAACGAGCCGTGCGCCTCCGGCTCCGGCGGCCAGAATCGCGGCAAAACTGAGCCGCGGATCCGGCGGCCCATGAATGCGTTCATGGTCTGGGCGAAGGATGAGCGCAAGAGACTGGCGCAGCAGAACCCGGATCTGCACAACGCGGAGCTGAGCAAAATGTTGGGTAAGTCATTTTTAACGCGATTTAATCCGTGCCAGATCTGCACAGGTTATTATCACTATTTGTTCATGGTATTTACGTGCTTGTTCATTTAGTTTAGTGGTTTAATTCAAATTGTGGTTGTTTCTCAGTCAGTGCAGGGATTGTAGAGGCCGCAGGTGTAGTTACCATGTTTTTAAAAGTTGCTAAGCTGATCGTGTAAGCTCCAAAACCCGTCCCGGGCCCCTAAAATGGCAACAAGCTATTTCTGTGTGCATCACCAGACTGCAAACGGTATCCGCTGACATATCGCTGATGTGCGCTCTCCTCTTGACCTGCAGGGAAATCGTGGAAAGCCCTTCCTGTGACAGAAAAGCGTCCCTTTGTGGAGGAGGCCGAGCGGCTGCGCGTTCAGCACATGCAGGACCACCCCAACTACAAGTACCGGCCCCGGCGGCGGAAGCAGGTGAAGCGGATTAAGCGGCTGGACTCTGGCTTTCTGGTCCACGGCGTGTCCGATCACCAGGGCCCGTCCATGCCCGGGGACGGCAGGGCGTGTGCGGAGAGCCTGGGCTACCACGAGCACGGCTTCCAGGTGCCCCCCCAGCAGCTCGGCCACTACCGAGACGCTCAGGCCCTCGGGGGCCCCTCCTATGAGACGTATAGCCTCCCTACGCCTGACACCTCCCCTCTGGACGCTGTCGAGTCGGACCTCATGTTCTTCCCCTCGCATTCACAAGAGGACTGCCACATGATGCCCGCCTACGCGTACCACTCCCAGGCGGCGGAGTACCAGCCCCAGGACCCCCACGGCAACCACCACGGCAACCCGATCCTGCACCGGCACCCCGGCTCGACTCCGGAGCAGCCCCTTCAGTCCGCAAACCTTCCCCCCTCCTACATGGGATGCCCCAACCCTCTGGCCATGTATTACACTCAGCACTGCAGCCCCGGCCACCCCAAGCGGCACCCCGGCGGGGCCGGACAGCTCTCCCCGCCTCCCGACTCCCACCACCCTCACCCGGCAGACAGCGTGGAGCAGATGCACCACTCGGAGCTGCTGGCCGAGGTGGACCGCAGCGAGTTCGAGCAGTATTTGAGCTCCTCTTCGGCGCGCGTGGACATGGCCGGCCACTACGGGCCGCACGAGGCCGGCATGCAGGGGCCCGAGAGCCTGATATCATCGGTGCTGTCGGACGCCAGCACAGCTGTGTATTACTGTAGCTACAACAACTCCTAACCTCCTGCCCGCTGCAAGGACACGTGGTCTGACCTCAAATCTAAATTTGAACAAATAAATGTTTGTTTGTTTTTATTTTATTTGTCATTGCCAGCCTCTTGGGCACGTGAGATTTTCCAACGCCGCTTTGGCGAAGACTGTTGTACTGTAAGAACAAGCCATAGAATACTTCACACACTCGTTTAACTTTTTCTTCCTCTCTTGCAGGGATTCGTTTTGTGATGATAAATATTGAACAGACACTATTTCAAAGTTTATGTATATACTGAAGGTGTTTTTTATACTTTTTTTGCACTTTTGAGAAATAAATGTTGGCAAATAGACTCACAATCTCTTGCATTTGTTATTTCACATTCTCTTGAATTTCAGAATGCAGAAACTTTCTTCCACATTTATTCATGAAATGTTTTTAATGTCTAAATCAGAAGGTAAATCACCTAAAGCAGCGTCTGCGAATTGGTTCATTACTTATTGAAGAATTCTCTTGTCAGAGGTTTCTTCTGTACCACATGGCAATATCCCGGTTGGTTTTCCCCTCGTCCAGCACCACCGGTTGCTCACCTGGAAGCAGGGTGGGGGCCGGGGGGCCGGGGGCCCGTGACCCGGCTTCCTGGCCCGGACAGAGTGGAGGTAATCCCGGTGTCTGCGTTACACATGGCGCCCTGTTTTCGCAGTATGGGAGCACAGTTTATGCTCCGGACATCCTGCCTCTGAATGATTTAGTCTCTTCTGATTAATGGAAGGGGGCCATTAAAATTCACTACACCTCTGTGAAACAATAGGGACACTTTATTTTTTTGTATTTTCACAGCTGACCATATAATATCCAATAAGCAGTGACATTGGGTTTTTTTATTGTTAAAATATTATATTATATTAGAACGCCAGTCTGTTGCCTCATCATACGTCAAATGTATCAGATAAAAATCTTTAGGAGATTTCATCAAACCTTGAGGACGATGGGTGGTATTTATAGCTGACAAAGGATCCCGTTTTATAAATAGAGATTTACCCTATTTTAAAAGGAAGAGGTTCTTCTCTGAGGGGTCAATCACCCTGACCTCCCGATCCATTTTTAGCACTTCAGAGGAAACATGCTCCGGAGGTTTATATATTAATGCTCTTTGTTCGTGCTGAATGTTTGGAAATATTCTCATATGTTGGATAAGTGGCGGTTGGACCTCAAGGTAAATATTTCTGGTTCTTCCCACGGTTGTAATAATGATGTCACCTCTTGTTAATGTCAACTAAAAAAAAAAGGCCTTGTTAAGGTTAAAACGGCTACGCAGGGTTGTTACTCTGAGCGGGTTTGACCGATATGCGTGAGCTTTCACGTCTTCCCTCACTCACAAGCAGACTTATTTCCCTTCGGGCCGTGCAGAACAATCCACTGTAATTGGTGTGAATGTGTTTAAATTCAGTCTGCAGCTGAGTGGCAGGTTTATCCTCCTAATGGGTGCATAACAACAGGCTCAGGCCACCATCCCCGAGGCACCAGCAGAGTGGGAGGTGGTGGGGGGGGTCACCTGTGCAGCTTTAGGGAGAGGCGGACCCCCCACGTCTGCCATGATAGTATCTCCTCACACAGATTGGCCACGGCTAATTGATGAGGAAGACTTGAAGACAGAGGAAGGTAAAAAAAAAATCACACAAGCAATTATGTATAAAAGCTACGATAATAACACCTAAATAATATAAAATTCCCTTATGAACTCATTTAGATTGGGAAATAAGCAATTTAAGAAATGACTGTGTGTTTATTCAAAGACTTTAAAAAGTCTGTGCTATTTGTTCACATTTGAATTACGTAAGCAGCAGCAACAAGATGTTGACAGGCAAAAGCAAGAAAGTCAGAGGTCAGAGCAGCTCAAAGCTCAGGAAATGTGGCCTTTCATGGTTTTCCCTGCTGCAGTGTGTGTGTGTGTGTGTGTGTGTGTGTGTGTGTGTGTCCCGGGGCCTCGCTGCCGGCAGTCTGCAGACACACACTCAGAGATTACAGCAGGACGCCCGGCTACATGGACGCAGCAGCACTTAATCATGGCACTGCCCTAATCTCATCCCAGGTAGCTGCCTTTCACAAACACGGCTTCGTTCATCCACTAAAGGCAGCTGCAGCCTCGCGAAGCAGCAACATCGACTCCAAACCAGCTGATATTCACGCTGTTCAGTCATACGATTCGTCCATTAAAGCCCCGTCAGCTGTGGCTGAATGCTGAGCCGACACTGGCTGCACAGATGGAAAACCTCCCTTATTATCAATCTTTGGTTAATTGTTTTCTTTGTCTTCTAACTTCTAACAAGAAGAGAAAACAAAAATACACTTTTAAACAGTCATTTAAAATGTTTGAAAATAAGAATAGTCCAAAAAGCACTATTTGAATAAGCAATTATAGGCTGACTCCAGTTATTTTAATAACCTATTTATCAATTGATTTTATAACATCTCAAATACCTTTGAATCTTTGTTCTGTAGTGAACAGAATGTATCTTTTAGCTTTGAACTGCTGGACAAAACCAGGAACTTGTCTCATCAGTTACTAGTGCACCATTTTAAACGTTCCCCATAGAGAATAAATAAATAATTGATCAACTGTTTAAAAAAAGAGGAGAAAAAGGTCAATGTAGTTGCAGCGGCTTTAACCCCAAACGACAAAGAAAATGAATTGAAAATATCAGATTATTATTTGCGTCAACAGAAACTCTTCTCTAGTGACTTTGACAACAAAACACACGTGCACAAACACAAAATAATAAAATGATAGTTAATGTGTAACGCCGGCCTGCAGGAGACACACACACACACACACACACACACAAACTGTTCGAGGGGAAGATTCCTTTGTCCAGTTTCAGCGCACTGATTAAGTCATTGATAGTAGATTGCAAATGCAGCATGTGGGACAGCTGCAGCAGAGGGTGTGTCTGTTGTCTCATAATCCCGGGCATATGCTCTCCCTCTCCGGCCCGGCGGCTTTTATGGTCTCCGGTCACACCACCCTCCAGTTGTGCTGCCACTATATATAGTGGATGGAGTCAATCTCCACTCTCCGCGCCGTGACTCAATAGTTTATTTTCCTTCTGATTCCCGCTCTGCTTTTGTCACACGTCGGCTTATAAATAGTTGTCTCGTGAGCTGATAGACTGAACAGGTACCCCTGCTCTCCGCTCCAAGGTGTCAGATTCACGGGGATTATTCACAAATGGTTTTGGAAGTATTTTTGTTGCACAGCTGCAACGCTTTGGTGCAGCACAATTCTAACATAAACTGACACGAAACCAACGTGGGTGTGACCCATAACACGTTTGGTTGAATTCTACTGCACACAAAGCATGTAAAGAGTTGAAAGTCTGATTAACATCTATCGCCGATCATCACCATACAACATAAATCACAGCTTCAGTTAATGGCAATTCAGTTATTATGCCGGTATACTTAGAAGGCCCCTGTATTCCCATTAAGATGTATTCATTAAATGTCACATTGAAGCCATAATGATCTAATTCTTTGAAGCTATCTAAGGGGAAAGAACTGCTGAACAGAAGTAACAACAGCCGTACAGTGCAGGCGGATGGGGACGCGAGATGGACTCGGGCCGCTGCCAGGGAACATTTTCCAGAAGCTGGCTGGCACATTTTGTTTCTCAGTCAAAACGGGACTCGGGGAGCCGATCAGCTCAGAGCCCCCCCCCCCCCCCCCACACCCCGTTCTTTTGTTTCAACCCTCTGGTGGCATTCAGGAGAATTTTTAGCAGGCGTTCGGGCGGGTAGTGAGTGTAAGATGACTGCATCAGCAGTCAGCTTCCTCTCCGCGGTGTTTTTCTTTGGAGGGCAGAGAGGTGCTCGGTCCTCTGGCTCTGCTGCTTCCCCTTCTGGGTAAACGGCGAGGCCGAGGAACCGGCAGAGTGACGGCGAAGGACATCATTCGTGACTAACTCACGTCTGTAGCTGCTGAGGAGGAAAAAGGAAAGAAAGAGCAAGAGTACGCCGATACGAAACAGAGGAAATAGTTAGTCAGGCCGTTGTAACAGTTAGAAAGTAAAACTAAAGAATCAAGAGTTGAAATTGGTCATTAAAACCTAAATGTAAAGAATAAAGAGTTAAAATTGGTCATTAAAACCTAAATGTAAAGAATAAAGAGTTGAAATTGGTCATTAAAACCTGAACGTAGCCCACTGGGTATAAACCGTTGGATGAACAGATGTGTTTGGTTAAAAGGAAATGGTTGACCTGAATGGTTTCGCGTAAAATAAGACGAACGGTAGAGGAACAGTGATTTTTATTTATTACCGACGACCTGTCTAGAAACTGGATGAAAAGCACTCGGAGGCCCAGCCGAGGTTCGCCAGATAAATGCGGACTATTGTGTTTTTTTTTGTCTCTCTTTCCGTGAATCTTTGAATCTTCCACGCAGCACCTGTCTCCACTTCCTCGCTGCCACGACTCCTGTTTGCTCCATCAATGAAAGATGGGCTGGGAACATCCTCTATCGGAGAGGAAGCCATACTCTGAGAGATTCACACCACTCGCACCATTTGGGGAACCACCGGTAGGAAGAATAAAAATACGTAGAAATATGGTCTAAATAAAGGGGGGAGAGGGCAGCGTGTCGTGACCCGGGTCAACTACCCTTTGTTGTCTCATGGTAGTTGTGTGTGTGTGTGTGTGTGTGTGTGTGTGTGTGTGTGTGTGTGTGTGTACATGCATGTGTTTGAGTAGCTGGCAAACAGTTTGTTCTCTTCGTACTTGTATTTAATGAAATAATGAAATATGTTCGGTTTGTGTGTTTTTTATAGTAATGACATATTACTGTTTATTAGAATTTCAATTGAACTTAATGTCTGTTCATAATTATTAAAAGCAACAGTTTCAGCGCCTTCGAGTCAGGTTGTCATTTTATAAGGGAGATTACTGATATTTATTTATTATACTGTATTTCAGACAAACTCACTCATGAATTTCTTGACTTTCTTGCTCATAAAAATATTCAATTAAAGTTTTGATCGGACTAATTTCTCGTTTTGTAACCTGAAGATGGGTAAGAACTTGTAGAGAAACCATGCTACCGTATCGTATTTTTAGATAAATCTTTAAGTTGTGTGAACCTGCAGGCAGGACAAATGTCTAGACACTGTTTTGTGTTTTTCTTCTTCTTCAAACAACACAATAAGTCTGAAAAGCTGTCTCTCACACAGGAAGTGTATTTGTGCTCATGTTATTGGATTATGAGCTTCAAACAAGTATCAAACACACGTCTACTGAAACAGCAAACAGTCCACTTCCAGTTCCCTAAAAGCTGACGGTGTGTTCCTCCCTCGCAGGTCCTGTCTCCTCTGCGTGGGGCCGGTCCGTCCTGTCCCGTCTGCACAATCTGCAACACAGTCGCACGGGGACACGAAATGTCCTTTTGCTGAAGGAAACTGTCTGATTGGACGTTTTCTCAGTTGGGACGCTGCTGTGTTGGTGGAGTTTTGCAGATGTTGTGAAGAGAGTTTGTTGCGGTGCCACTTGTTGCCACCAGGGGTCAGCTGTGCACAGGAGGGCACGAGGCTCGCTGCGATATTAAACATCACACATCTAAGTGGGGGTCTGTTAAAAGACTCAAAATGTCCTTATCGACGCGTGATGTCAACTCTGAATGAATGGAAACAAAATATTTCATAATTAGGTTGTTGTACAAATAATGGAAGCATCGCATTCTGTATATTTGTTTAAATAACACTCCTTTGTTACACTGATTTGTTCAATCTATCTAATTTATAAAAGTGCCCGTGAGGATCAACAACATATGGAATTGTTTGAGTACGCAGTGAGAGAGGTGGAGATATTAGTTAGTCGATCGGAATCATTTCAAACTTTTCAACGTACTATTACATAAACATTGTATTGGATCAGCGGGTGGATCCAGGTGAGCTGCTCCGGTAATCCCTGACAGAAGTCCTGCTGTGGTCACGCACAGCGGGGTATTTCCTGCTCCGTGGTCTATTACCATCGCCTGGGGGGGGGGGGGGTAAGATGTCACTGCAATGGTTCCCATGATACACTGCAAGTTAGATTGTTGGTGGTGCATAATAAGTCATTGGTTGGTGCAATTTGTTGTTTTTTGTGCTGTTGTTTGGGCCAAGACTCCCTCAAAAAAGACCTTTTAGATCTTAATGGTAAAATCCTTAGAAAAGGAGGTTAAAATCTATTAAAATAAAAAAAGGCAATAACCACAATAGAATCAGATTTTAATTATATAACGTGTGCATAACAAAATGGGAAATAAAACAACAAACAAATTTAGTTCTTTCGTACAAACAAATGCATTTAATGAAATAAAATCAATAGGTGCCATGTCCATAATGTTCACACTGTATTACGCTATCAGTCTTGTAGTGAATGAAGTGTAAATGTGTTTTTTCTTGTGAGGCTCATATAACCTATGAAGCAGGTGAAATCTGGTCCAAAAAGGACTCTCTTTGTTTCGTCCTGCAGAGGTCTGGATTGTTACTTTATTAATGCACCACCTCAAATATTCAGTGAAAAGTCGATGTGTGCGTATGTGGAACACTCGGGCTGCTTCTAAATGTCTTTAGACACCTCGGTCTACGGAGAGGACCATATAATGTGCTGTTAAGAGAGGGCTTTGATTTGGTTTGATGGTTTGAACTATTTAAATATGTCACACCTCTTTATTTTCAGTAGGTTAAAATGTGGAGAAAAGTCTTCTGAAGGTTGAATGATTCTGCAAATCTGACATCATGAAGCATGTTTCCAGGTGTTGTCATCCTGCATGTTGTAAGATCGCGGCCCTCAAATCCATGTACAGACGACAGATGAAACTATTTCAATCCCTTCACCGTGAAAAAAACTCTCTCTCCGTAACTCAGATCCAATATTTGTAATGAGTTCTACTTTTAAAAAGATTTAACGTGCTAATTATTCTGTCCTCAGATTAAGTACATTTTTTCAGTAAGATATAACAATTCAGAACAATTTTTGTGAGGTTTATTAGGCAGAGAAAATGTCAAGCTGCATGTACCACAAAGCAAGGTGCAACTTCTTCATTTTACTTTTTAATATAAATCCTGAGGACAACATAGTTATTGTCTGTATTTTCTTTCAATACTCAATACACATTCAATAACTGAAGTGGAAAGAGAAGTTTAATTTCTAGCTCAAAAGTGCTCCACATGAATGATGTATCAGATACATAGAAACAAATTATATGAGTTAATTAATAAAATAATGAATACATTAATATTACAAACGCAAGTGAAGCATCAGCTGGGCCGTGGCTCATTCTGTCGTTTGGACAGCGATATAGAGCTGAAATGCAAAATATTAGTGTAAAAAGTGTAACAAAAAGAGGAACCAACCTAATAAAGGAATATGTCTAGCACATGTCTCATATTGTAATGGACCGTGAGGGTTAAATGAAAGCATCAAACCCGCCGCCCTTCAACTGGTGCCCCTCTTTCCCCACTATTGTCCCACAGGTTGGATACAAATTGCTTTAACATCGAGTATCGAGAATGAACTTAAAAACAAATACGACGCGGGTACTTATCATCCCTACAGGATTCCCTGACAATATATGGACACAATAGACCCCCTTTCCATTGAAATTGATGGGGGCGGCGACCTGTGCGTGAACCCTGAGCAGCAGGAGCGCTGGTCTTTAACGGCCCAGAGAGACGAGCCAGACGCTGGGCGACTCACATTCGCCACATCCTTTTGTTGTCGGGCGGAGAGAGAATGTCAAGGCCGGCTCAATAAGTCTTTATCTTGGCTCTGTGTGTGATTCCGACAGCGCATATGAATAAAAGAGAGACGAAAAAATAATGACTGTGTGCACATTCCTCTGCAACTGCCCAACTGGTAAATGTGTGTGTGTGTGTGTGTGTGTGTGCGTGTGCGCCGTTTTCCAGCGCCTGGAAAGTTCATTTGTGCGGCGTCAGGATGCCAGCGTCTCGCCCCTGTCCACCGCGCGCTGCTCCGTCGCTCAGTGGCCGACCCCCTCAATCAGGGGAAGGTTGTCCGATGCGAAGTGCAGACGGATAAATCACTCCTCGCCCCGCGCCGCCGTCAGGGGGGTGCCGCCCGGGCCCTCCAGAGCCAACAGCCATGTTGGTATTGAGCCCTTTGCAGAGCCGGGCCCTGACCGCCGCTGCCCTTCAGTGTCTACAGGGAGGCTGTAGCTCGTGTGCTGTGTCCTCAACATCCATCAAAATCGCTTTTGACATCTGCCGTTGTGTTTTTGTTTCCTTCGATTACCTATTTGAGTCCACGGCGTCTCGTTTTAAGGATGTGAAGACGCTGTGATTTCACTGTTTTTAAACTGTTTCACCAGTTTGGCCCAAAACTCTCTCAAAAAGATGACGTTTGACGGCCTTTTTGGATTGTTTTTGGCCGATCAAAGCAGACGTTAAGCGAGGAAATAGTATGAGCCCCATTTGAAAACCATCACCGAGCCCGTTGTTGTAATCGCCAAGAGCTGAGGTCCGTCTGCGTGCGGCCTAATTGAATAACGGTGGTATGAGTGAACAAGAGGCAGCGCGGAGTGATTTACCGCGCAGAGGAGCGTGCTTATCTTTCCCTCTGTCCCCCTGCAGGAAACACTGCGATGTCACCGGGCAGATTAAAAGCTTGGCACAGCTGATACGCAGCGCTCAAAATGGACGGGGTGGGGACCTCCTGACTGCTGCGCTGTGGGTTTCGGAGGGGAGGCGGACGGCGATGTGACCTTACTGCGCGGGTCCTGTTTGGCAGGCTTTCACTCAAAATCTGGGAATTCCACTGGAAGTCAGGAAGGGGGGAAAGAAAAGATATGACATTGTGTAACTTGAATGGAATTCTGAATAGTAAGCATATTTTAGGGCCGAGCGTTTGCCAAGTTCTGTTTTTTTTTTAGCTTACAGGCCGCCCTCAAAGGAAAAATACAATTCATCAACCCTGCTGTGGATAATGTTAAAATTCGGGAAAGGATGGGGATTTTGGCTGCGAGGAAATTTTAAAAGAAGCTCATTGGCCGCCTCAATCGCGTGTCTTTTAATTGAAGTGAATGCCTGTTGGTCAATGTGCAGCTGTATCACTTATAATTGAATTCCTGGCGGCTGCGACGCTCGGAATTTCAAGCAGTTCTCCCAAGAGGCGCGCATTTTATTTTAAACCGCAAACACGGAGGCCAAACATGGCGCAAGATCACGGCCAGCGAGCCCCCGCCGTGGCTTCACAACGCAGCCAGCGATGTATCGCTGCCCTTTAAGCGGCAGCACTCTTTGCCCCTCGGATGGAAGGTAATGCATTCAGACCGGAGAGAGGTGTTTGATGGGAACACGGGCGGACGGATCCGGAGGAGCAGCTGCAGAGAGGCTGGGGCCAAATATAGAAAGGGGACGAGGGCCAAAACATATCACACATTTTTTCCCATTAACAGCATAGGTTTGAATCTAACTTGGCGCCAATTAGTTGCAGTGTAGGCGCAAGGACTTAAAAATAGAGCAGTGGCAAGATGAGGGGGGGGGGGGGTGGCAATACACGATATCGCTGTCACGGCGGGCGTGTGATTTTACACGTAATCACGTGAAGGAAACACAGCAGTATTGGCATCGCCAGCTGGTTTCGCTATAACTGTGACACGTGGAAGGCTGCATGTGACACGTGGCGCGTCAGACATTTGTCGCCTTCGTTACCTGCCGCCGCCTATTTTTGTTATTTTCAGACCGATTGCACATTTTGATCTGCGCTGCCGCATCACAGCGGCGAGCTTTTTAACGTCGGCCCCTTATCTCCGGCGCGGGGGGCTGGAATGAGAGGCATGCGGGCTTCGGGCCTACCTGTTTACTCTGAGGGCTTCCTCCATTGTCCCCTCCCAGACCCCCCCACCTCCTCCGCGCTTCCTTTGAGGGATTTTTCCCATTTTTCCTTTGCGCTGGTTGTTGTTTTTCGGGAACACGTCACTGCCTTGGAACACGGGAGCCTCCTGCGGCGTTCCCGAGTCGCTGCCATGCTCGGGCGGCTCAGCAGGGAATTCTTTCCTACGGCACATATCGTCCATTTCACGCACGCCTCGGTTATTTTCACACCCGTAAACTACACAGGATGACAAGCGTGTCATCCCTTCATCCTCTGATTCCGAGCTGAAACCTGATCACTTCTGCATATTCCGTTGATTCCTCAGCGTCAGCCCCAGGTTTACTCAGGAATGAAGTCATCCCTCGTCGACTAATCCCGTTGCCTACAGAAATAGACTCAACTCACTCGAGTTTGGTGACTGTTGTGATGGTTAAGCATGTAAGACCGGCTAATGTTGCACCTAACCTACCGGACTCCACTTCTCCGCTGAACCTAATGGCATTCATTGAACGAGCACTATTTTGTCGCACGGATCATTTTGTATGAAGAATAAAAGCCCTTTTTGTCTTATTTTAAACTAGCATGTGCTCATATCCCACAGGGTCAAAGATGAAGATAATCCCAGAATGCTTTTTAATCATTATCAAGAGGTAATAAGGCGACCGTTCCCTCCTTTCATTGAAAACAAGTGCTCTTCTGCGGGTGGAGAGCTCCTTAATCCTTATTATCTAAAGAGGCCCTCAATGAGATTACAACCGCACACCGGTTTACCATCTGCTGCCGCTGGAGGAGAAAACTCAGGTTTCTGCAGGTACGACGAATTAGGGGGATTTATTTTGTTTAAGAAAAGAAACCCGCTGACCCCTGATTGTAGGGGAAAGGTATTGTTAACTTTCCGGTCCTTTCCCACCTCTTCGCCCTGACAGCTCTGAGTTCATCTGCGCGACGCACCTTTTACCAGGAGGATCTCCAAGCGATGCACTCGCAGCGGAGATTAACGTCGTGCAAAGATTAAGCAAATTAACCACGAAGGTGTCTCCAGAAATAACCTGTTGCTGTGCACTTTGTTCAACAGCCATCATCATGTAGGCAACGGAATAACATTTGGTGAATCCTTTTAAAACGTTCTGGAATTTAGGTGAGTACAACTCTGGTTTATTTATTTTCTTGTTCATTGCCTCTAGTTATAATCTCTATCTTTGTGCTACATGTGCATGGTCATAAATCTAAAGCCAATGTTGTTTTGATTTGATTTGTTACTCACATATTTGAGAAATAACCCTCCTGAATATCCCACAAATAATTTCATTTTGGATTTTTCTTTAATGACCTTCAAGAAAATCGGTTTCAGGTCAAACTTAATTTTCTTAATAAAAACATTAAAGATTTAATAAGTTGTTATTGAATGATTTAAAGACATTGTTTTTTAAATTTGGTTCTGAAATGGTTGGGTTTAAGTTTATCATATACGTAAAAACAGATTGGTACAGATCGGTTTTCATAAGCGGATAATCATGACAAAATAAATAACAGAGAGAAGAATCTGTCAAACATGTCTGTATCACGTGTTAAGTTCTCCACTGTGCTGGTAAAACCCACGTAATTAAATAATTGAAGATACCGATCACGGGGTTTCCCAGAAGTTACGTCGATTACCAACTAAGAAAACAACATGTGTTTACCAGACCTCATTGGCTTTATTCACATCACATGTTTACGCCTGGTGTCTTATGCTTGTGCCCAATCGCAGAAGCTGACACGCAAATGTCTCTTTAGACATTTTGTCATGAACCAAACAGAGTTTTACTCACGGCAATCAAGTTGCTTAACACTGCTCCCTTTGTTTATTCACAAAAGTGGACAAACGCTCCTCACCATTGATTCTATGGAGAAATCTTCATAAACACGAGTACTCGACCATTTAACGTACTCGAAATCTAACGCTCCTCTTGTGCTCGCCCTCCAGACAATCGGCGACGATGAACGAGTCGGCGTTTCGGAGGGCCCTCCCTGAGCAGTCATTCGGGAGTGGGCGCACCTCTGGCACCCCCCGCCACCCGAGCCTCATCCACCCGATCTTATCGAAGAGGGTCTGCTTCTACAAGAGCGGAGACCCCCAGTTCAATGGCCTGCGCATGGTCATCAACAGCCGCACCTTTAAAACGTTTGACGCGCTGCTGGACAGCCTCTCTAGAAAGGTCCCCCTGCCGTTCGGGGTGAGGAACATCACCACGCCGAGGGGGGTTCACGCCGTCCGCACCCTGGACGAGCTGGAGGACGGAAAATCCTACATCTGCTCCGACACTCGCAAGGTGAAACCGATCGACCTGGCTCTGGCCAGGAAGAAGCCGGCGCCGTGGTACCACGCCAGGCCCGTCAGCCCCCGTCGTCGGAGCGCGCAGCAGGCCCGGTTTTTCCCCGGCGGAAACAACCACCGGCAGGAGTCGGTGTCGTTTGCGCGCACGCCGAAGATTCTGTCGGTTTTCCGCAACGGGGACGCCGGCGTGAAACACTCGGTGGTGCTTCACAAGAGGACCACTCCCACTTTTGAATCCATCCTGGAATGTATTTCAGAGCTGATGCAGTTCCAGGTGGTGAAGTTGCACGCAGCCGATGGCCGACGCGTGAGTTTTCTCCTCCCAACACCTTCAAAAGATCTATTTTCACAGAAAGGGGTTTTACAACCATCAGAAGTAAACGTTACTGAAAACACCATGATGTATTTGGTGAACCTTCCCTTATAATACAAAGACATTCTGCCGGCACAGAAGTTTGGCTTGAAACTGACCTGAAAACAGGTGTCACGCGAGGAGAGAACGTGGTAATCGTCTCACCCTAATTCATAGATAAGCATTGTGGGTCACTGCTCTGTAAGGCTTCAGGACAATGATCCACTCTAAACACAGAGCTCGCTGGTCTTGCAAGGCGTCATATTAACAAATAATACATGAATTACATATACAAGCATGTTTGTGTATCTGCTAAACTGTATCTGTTAATCTGTCTCCTGCAGGTGGACGGCTTTCCAGGCTTGATTTTGTGTTCTGGGACAGTAGTGGCTGCGGGCCGGGAGCCGTTCAGGCCCGCAAATTACAATGCACAGATTTCACCAGCTCAAAGCACGTCGCCTACCAAACAAATAGGTCCCAGAAGACCGAGGGCTTTGAAACGTAAGTTTACATAAGAATCATTTTGACTTGTTGAGTGGATGCATTCTCAGTGATGCGTCTACAGTAATCTGTCTGCTCTCATGGGATGAAGACTGTAAAAGAGCTGAGGCAATGATAAGGTGTATTATAATATAATACCACAGATGACCTACATACGATGCCTGCCTACCTGCCGGCTATAGTTCTTTGTGAGCCGTGATTAGCTCCTCTCCTTCTAACTTTTCCTTTTGCTCTTTCTTCTCCTTTTCATGTTTCTGGCGTTTACTCTTCAAACCACCCGCCTCTCCTTCTCAATCCTCGCCTGGAATCTTTGCACATGTCTACTTCCTTTTTTCCCAAATGAACTTTTCTTTGGCTCGCCTGACTGAAAAGGTAAAAAAAAGTCAAAACCATACACTCCAAAGTCGAGACATTTCTCCCTGTCGTCGGAGAGGTACATCGTCGACCGCATTCACAACTCCATCACAGGAGGTCCGTGCGACCGACCTGGTCACTCTGTCGAGTTGGAGTCGGGCCACATGCTGGAGTCCGTCGCGGAGACGCCGGACACCGGCCTCTGCGTCGCAGCCGGGGAGCGGGACGGCCGTCAACTGCCCTCGGACGACGACATCGAGAAGTCCTTTCGAGTGAACCAAGACGGCAGCATGACGGTGGAGATGAGGGTGCGGCTGACGATTAAGGAAGAGGAAACCATTCATTGGACGACCACTCTGGCGCGTTCCAGTGTGGCCAGTCAGCTCAATGCGACCTGTTCACCAGAGACCGGGCCGGAGCAGCAGATCAACTCACTGAAATCAAACTCACTGGATTCAGAAAGTCCCGCCTCCTCCATCAACAAGGACAAAACTCGGGATAACAACGACGAGGATCCACCTTCGCTGGGCAACGGCGTTTTGAGTGAGAGCAATAATGAAGAGGATCCAAGGAGCCCCCCCACACCAGGGCACAGGCACATTAGAATAGAGCAAGCCTCCGTGGAGGGCGTCCAATCAGGGGCGGTAGAGGGGATTCGGGAAGGCGTGGTCGGCTCGTACTCGTACCGAGAGCAGGCGCAAAGCGGGGCCGTGACGGAGCAGTACTGCGTGGTCAAACAGAGGAGCAGCAGGCCGGTGCCCAAACCGAGAAGACAGAGCTCTGTGGATGCCAACAACGTAAATGGTAGAAACGTACCCACTTTCAAGTCAGCGGGGATGTCTGAGATCCAACGGATTGAATCCAGTGGAGGGGAGGTCACTGAAACCGTCTTACACGTGTATGAACAGCAGACATGCCAGGATAATTTCTTCGCAAACCTTTGTTCACAGGATATGTCTGCTTTCGGGATACCTTTTTGCAGGCCTGCTACTTCAGAAACCGGCCAGCTCTCCTCCAACGAGGAGTTTGAGCCTCCGCCCTGGAGGCCGTCGACAGCTTCCGAGTCAATCAGCATCTGGAGGGCCGAGAGCACGTCAGTAACATCTGCCTTGAACTTGCCTTCACGGGGGCCGGGCGCGATTCAAGCAGTAGACGCTCAGCAACGATTGCCGAAGCCCACCGTTGGCCAACCGGGACCCCAACAAAAAGAGGGCAACAAAGATAGGCGAGTGTCATCGAAACCCAAAGTGATCAACAAACGCGTTCGCCGGCTTAAGTTGCCGGGGAAAAAGCGAAAGGAAAATTCCGCAGGAGTACCTGAGAAAAATGGGAAAGTGAAAACTTTCACCAGCGCTGGGTTCATTAAGAAGATTTATGGGAATAAATCAAAATCAGTAAAAAGCACAATGAAGCTAAAAAAGGGCCCAGACAGGGTTACAACGGGGAGCTCTCAACAGCTGGATGACACGGTAAAATGTGTTCTCAAAGACTTAAACGTACCATTGGCATCGAAAGAAACTACAAGCGAGACCGTTTCTTCGGAAAAAGGCCGACTGAATGTTGCTCCCATTGAAGTAAGCCAACACGGGGGGATGCTGGAACGGCAGACGTCAATGCATCAGGAGAAAAAGAAAGAAAACGAGTGCTGTGATGTCAGCGAAAGCATGTCCTTGCCTGCGTTTAACTCCTCCAGCGCTGTCACTAAAGAGTATGTGGAAAGCTGGCTGGAGAAAGCCTGTCTCAACCCCTCAGCCTACTCCGATGAGGCAAGTAAAAAAAAAGCAGCACTTACTTTTGTACAAACGGAAAACGCCAGGTGTGTGGAGTCTGAAAAGAAGAAAGGTTTGACGTTTGTGGCAGACGACGAAAAGGGTTTGGAGGACACGTCAGGGGAACCAAATGGCCCGCTGCCTCAAGATGAGCTGGAAGCTTCCGTCAAACAAAGAATCCGGTCCTTTGAAAGCAAACCATCAGGTCAATCAACGAAGAAAGCCGCAGTCAAACAGCAAATTGTGTACAGTCATGAAACGACTACAAACACAGAAAACTATCTGACTTTAGCTCGCAATAACACAGACCAAACTAAACCTCTTGTCTGTTGTGAAATAGTTCCGCCAATTAATGACACATCTACAGAAATTCCACCGGGCATCAGAGTGGACGACAAATCAAGTACAATCCAAATCTCATTTAAAAAAGAAGCACCTTCAAAGGAGCTACCAACACCTGTTGGAAATACAGATCTACCAGAATATTCCATGACGGGTGGATCCTCAGAGGCCGGCGGCCTGATGCCGAGGCTCGGCAGTCAAACGCCACGCAAACACCCGTTATCCGTCAGCCGTACCTCTGATAGGGCCGAGTCACCTGCCGACCGCGCAATGGAAACGACAGCGACCGTCCACCCCGACACCTGTGCGCACAGCGCGGCGCCATTACCGAGGACTCCATCCATTAAAAGGGCCCCTTTGGTCAGTAACAAATCTCTAGACAGGAAAATGTCTCTCAGAAAGGCTTGTCTGGAGAAATATACGTTATGTAGCGATGCCACCTCAGAGACAAGCGCCTCGTCTACTCCCATCAACCCAGTTGGCGATAATGTGGTGCCAAACGGCGTCTGTTCAACAGGGACGCAGCGACCCAGTGAAGGCCGAGCGGAAGAGACGCAGCGATCAAACAGCATCTCAGATGTGAGAAGCAGTCCGTCGTGTGGTACTTCTGCATCCCCGGCTAGTTCAACATCTGAAGAGAGGATGTCATCATCCGGTATTTCATCGAGTTTGGCTCCGACACCGAGTGATCTTTCACTTAAAGACACAAAAACAGATAAAACACATTCATTTCCTCAAAAAAAAGAAGCAATGTCACCCCAACCCCTGGTGAAAAGCGTCAAACATAGCAGTCCATCTCCAGGGAGAAAATCACCTTCTGAACCTCAAAACTCTCCAGAATTATCATCATTCCATAACCACCCTCCAGATGCTGGATTACACCAAACATCAAATGCTGGCTCTTCCACTGAGAGAAAGCTCAATCGACCAAAATCACATAGGAGGCGATCTCCATACTCTCAGTCTCTTGACATGGCGTCATCTCCCGTCAAACACAAGGCAGCTGGAAGGAGGCGTCACAAAACACCACGCGCCACAAACTCTGCAGCCGAGCAACAAACGGCAACTGGCAGCGCTCTCGCTTCGCTGGATGTCGACCGGTGTGATGAGAGCAAGACGGCCGACGACCCGGAGGAACCGGTTGCGCAAATCGTCCCACGGCAGTTAAACACTGTAAATCAGGCAAATATGAAACCTGTGCTTGAGACGATTTGCTACTCGATAAAGTCGATTAGACGAATCACACAAAACAAACGTCCGTCGTGTCTGGAAAAGTCCAACAGCCTGCCCGACTTCTCGTCTCACGTGGCCTCCACCTTCGGCTCGTCGTCTCAAGCTCTCCTCGCTTTCTTGTCCGTCATGACCCTAAAGGAAGGGCTAGACGACATGAATATGGACAAGCTGGACGCGAACAACGTGAGCTGCGCCGAAGCCTTAAAAATGATCGATTCTCTCAGAAAAATCGCCAGTATTGACGATTCCCAAGAGTTGAAAGCCAGCTTGTCCAGCTTGCAGCGGTCTGCTTCAAAACAGCTCCTTCAAAGTTGGAAGGGCTTTCAGGATCTGAGCGACAAACACAAGAGCCCAACACCAAATGATTCTGAGCCAGAAGCCGCGATCGAGGCCGTTTCCGGCTGTCGCGTTGAAGAAACCGTCGTCGGTGAGATCGTGGACAGTCTTGACATACCTGAGAGGCTCAAGGAAGAGTTGAACTGTCTTTCAAAAGTCAAAATTAACAGTGACGATGAAGAACCGACAGAAAGAGCGAAAACAAAAAACAACAGTAACGCCGAAATATCCAAATTCTCCACAGACTACGGTGTTAGTGTCGGGGATGTCGCTAAAGATGACAAAGATGATGTTGATGTGAGCTCAATTATTAAGAAATTCACAGACGTTAACCAGCCGAAACAATCCAACGCAGGTGGCAGAACTAAGGACAGTAGAGACAAAGACAGCTTGGGGAATGGTTCGGACAAATGTCCACCCGCTCACCCGACCAATAAACACACACCTGAAGGAAAGCAGCTCTGCAGCTCAGCGTTGTTTGCAGAAGACAACGAGCACAACGGGGTGAAATCCAACCAAGACCAGGCTCAAGCGAATGGAGTAGTCAGCGGCTATACAATCCTCGCACAGGACACCGGTGCCTCCGACGCAGAGGAGCACGACGGCGATCGGCTTCAGGTGCACGGTGAGGCGAGCGCCTCTGGGAGCGAGCTCCGCCGCTGTGAAGAGGAGGAAGGGCGGCGCATTCCAAGGGCCGCGAAAGATTTAGAGCGGGAGGCGCTTTGTCAGCAAAGCGTATCCGTTTCAGAAGCAGGTGAGCAACATAGTTCGGAGGACGAGGGAGAAGTTGAATGGGGAAGCGACGAGGACAAGCAAGCAACATCTGATTATGATGCCGAACTGGATGTGAGGAGGAAGGACGGAACATCCAGCCGCGAGAGTCACCACAAGCCTTTGTCGGAGGAGGAGCTGCCAGAGGTTGCATGTCAATCGGCCTGCACGGGGTCCAACTCCAGTGTCGACGAAAGCACGTGTGACCCAGATGTTGACGATCCATCTTCAGAGGAAGAGCAGCCAGAGGTTGAAGGTATGAGACTAAAGGTCATCTTTGAGGAAAGTGTTTTGGGCAGTGAGGAAGAGGAGGAAGAACACCTTGATTATCTTCCAGATCACATGCAGCCAACAAGAAAATACAGAGAGTCAAAGGCTTTGATGGAAGAGACGGAGGAGGACAGTGTCAGCTCACATGAAGAAGGCCGCGATGCCGATGAAACACACGTTTGCGATACAGTAGAAGGGGATCCAAGCCATTTTATACTAAATCAGGATTCATATATCCTAAAAGACAAAAGCAGTTGTATAAAGTCTGACATTTTAACACAGATGTATGGACTCAATGAAGATGAAGACAGTGGGAATGACCACAGCAGCTGTGAGCAACACGCAGAGACGGAGCAACCAAAGGATGAAGGCAAACCACCCAACACCTCAAGCTATGAGGACAAAGAGTCCTGCTCATCAGAGGAGGAAGGTGTCCACATTGACAGATATACAGAAGACAGCTGTACAGAATATCAAGGAGCTCCTCCACACGCAAAGGACACCACGCGTGAAAAGGCTGTAGAAATACCGCAGCATCAAACGGAGGGAATAATATCCCAATCTGTCGCGGCGAGGGTGATTCTTCTGGAAAAGCAAGTTGCCGTTGCCCAGAAGACAACAGAAAGTTCTGCCACCCGACGTTCCTCCCAGAGAAAGGCTCCACTCGGGCGGGACGAAGAGGACTCGCCCTCCGAATCGCCCGCGTCTCGGCCGGCTGCCGGCGCCCAATCGCCGCCTCAATCGTCACTATCGTTCAGCTACGACTCCAGCGGCGTCGTAACGTCGGAGCCCGAGGGCCACCGGGTCAGGTCCATTCGGGAAATGTTCCTGGCAAAGGCTGCCACAGATGTCCAACACAGATGTCTCCCGAGCTCGAAAACATCAGAGGCCAGAGCGGAGACGTCAGCCAGCGGCGGGTACCAGACTCAGACTTCGAGCGAGCCGTCCAGCAGCGAAGACGATTCGGCGCGGAGATCCATCACGAAAGGCTTCGTGAGAAGAACAATCGAAAGGCTTTACGGCAAGAAAGACGCCAGACCTGACCAGGAGGCGGGTGGGAGGCCGCCATCCGCGCCAAAACAGCAAAAGCAGGAACACTTGAGCGCTTTCTCTCCCTTCCACGTATCCCGGTCCAAAGCGATGTCTGAGTTTTCTTACTTCAACTCCACTCATGCAGTGGAGCCCTTGAGTGACGCGACACGCTGCGTCGCTTTTAACGCCGAGTTAAGGCCTGAAGACAATGAACAATGGTTCCTGAGGGAAAAGGCCCTGATCAGAAAGTCCGCGTCAGAGCCGGTCGCAATAAACAAAGGTTTCACAAACTCTCAAGGAGGGGAAATGTGTGAGGACGCCGAGGAGGACCCCCCTTACTCCCTGTTCAGCACAAAGTCCGAACTGGAGGACAATCAGTCGTCACTGTCAAGGAAGTGCACCTACTTCTCTTTGCCCCACACGAGCGACTCGGACGCACATCTGGAGGAGTCGAGCGCCGTCAGCAGAACCGGCGGCAATGGCCAAAGCGCCGCGGACACGAAGGAGGACTCGCAGGACGCCGGGACGCGGGCCGAGAGGGGCGGCGCGCTGCCCGCCGTCGCCGACTTTAAGAGGAAGGACAACAAAGTGCACCCGGCGACGGAGCCTCCGCCCGACGGCGAGGTGGTGCTCGTGCAGCCGGGGAAGCGGCAAGGCGTTATGAGCAGAAGGGTCGAGGAGCCCGACGTGTTGGACATACTTTACAATTTCTGCGGTCAGAATTGTCCCATCCTGTAAGGACACCAGCAGTCTAAACAAGTGAACATAGTTGAGCTAGAGCAGATTATATTGTTTTGGTGCCTACTTATTGATGTTGCCATCGCCTCGGCATGACACACAAACACACGTCAACTCATTTAAACCAACTGTCGATTGTGTCACAAGCAAACAGATTGATCTTCATCGGACCTTCATACTTTACCGTGTTTGACGAGAGCTCAATGTTTATCGTAAAGCTAGTGACTGTGTTTTCGTGACATCTTGACTGTGTATTTGCCACGTGCACGCCAGAGCAGCTCTTTTCCTCCTGGATTGCCTGTCCACAGATCAAGCAGCCAGAGCATTACTGTAATCTCGTTTTAAAGCCCTTGAAACCAAATCCAAGTCCGTGCAGCTGTAAGGCCACGAGGCCAATCCGCACTGCGGGGGAGCAGAGCCCGTTCGTGGTCGCAGCTCAGGTCCGGGAGGAAGTTCCGGTCGAAATCGTGCTTTAAAAAGAAAAAAAATTGAAAAATTGAATATGACACAAGTTGACGGAGAGTTGTAAACATTTTCAGTAAACACTTGATTTAATGTTTTTTGTATCTTGGTTGTCTAAAGTGTAAATAAGATATTATTCTAAGTAGCTTAATATGTATGTACAATAACCTGACCTTTATGATCAGGATAGCCGGTTTTATGGTTTCAATGTGGCAGCTGTGACATTTCCGTCTCTTCAAATTGATGTGTAACAATTAAAAGTGTGTATTTACAAATGTCGAGTGTTTTCTTTTACTTTTAACCACCTGCCACCCCCAAACTAAATCCCTGTGGACTGCGCGTTGGGCGTAACAATGTGCATTTAGGGGAAAGTTAGACGGAGAGAAGGTCAACAGACCTCGGGGACCGGTGTGTTAAAGACACCTGAGGAAGCTCAGCTGGGTGCTTTTCTCCCCCGTGATCAGTGGGAGCTGTTTTCTTACGCTCGGCCTGAGGAAGTATCCAGTGTTGTTCTTGGGTTGTTTTGTTTCTCAGAAGCTGCCATCGAGCCGGTCCGTGTTGTGACAGGAGTGTCAAGGAATGCACTAAGAGGGGAGTGTTTACATCTGCAGCTACAAAGTAAAAACAGCCAGACAATTTCCGCATTTTACACATACCTCCGGCCGGAAAAAAAAAAAGCTTCAAATTGTATGCGTGTTCGTTCGGGAGGTAGAGAATATTTTTACACCAAAATAGTCCCCCAGTAAAAACGTTTTAAAATGTCCACAAGATGGCAGCGGTGACCAACACGACGAGCCCTGATCACAAGTTTCTTTCAAGAAGAGAAGTGAGAAAGCCAGCAGGTTTTTATATCGTTTATTATTTAAATAAATATTTACATGACAGCTTTGTATAAATCAAATGTATTTTTCTTACACAGCACATCTTTCTAAAAGCAACTGCATAAACAAGCAAGAACAAAACAAGGGCTGGATTACGATGACACGGTGAATCTGTGTGTAGCGGTAAACCCCCTCGTGTTGATCACTGAGCAAATATTCACGTTTGCGAACCTGCATCACATTTACCGTCACTCCAACACCACCCGACCTTTGAGGCTCAGAACCGCGCTCATCCGTTATAAATGTCGTTAGAGTAATGCATGATAGTTTGGTACACTATTTAATTTGTTGTTACTAAAGGAATAGTAGGATGGTTCTCTACACTAACTCAATAAAAGGCCATACCGCATGGCTAAGAAAAACAAACATCTTAAGTCACACGTTAATCATTCAGGCACAAACAAAGCAATAGACAGCCTCGGTGGGACATCATGGGACAGCAGTCACACAGTGAAGGCTACGATGCCCTGCTAAACGGTGGACAGTTTATGGCTCATAAACTTCAGGCGTGGTGATCGAAGAAAATTAGAGCACACGTTTAATGCCCAAGCTGCATTTCTAGCTCTCCGACCAGATCGCTGACGCGAGTCACTCCGATTAAATCGCCCGGTCAGACGAGCTTGAAATGCTACAACTAAACACGACAGTTAAAACCATTAGATGGGGAAGACAACTTCGACCGCCCGATCGTTATCTCTGCTGCTTATTACACCACTTCAGACCATGAATGATTTGAACTGTAAAGAGATGAAGAAAAAAAACAAAACTCAATGTACACGGTTTACGTCATGTAAGTAAAAACATTAAAGCAAAATGAAGACGGAACTCTAAACCGTTTTACCTAATGCAACCTTATGCTTCTCCGGGATTAAGAGGAACAATGAAATGCTCTTTGTTTTCTATTGCTGTCAGGTCATGCATGTAAACTCACGGGCTTCTGTATACGTCTAATAAAACCAATTGTTCACTTAAAAATGTACAAAGAAAATACTCTTTTGTTCAAAATACTATTTGGGGAGGGATTAAAGGGTGAATTAATAAAAAGGTTCAACAACACCTTGTTGTTTTCATCCTGAGATTTAAACCGATGTGTGTCCTCTCACAGGAGTAATTTACAGTTTTTAAAAATTTGTTCACGCAAACACAGTTTCTGCATCAGACGGCGTCGGCGACGGAGCCTCCGGGTCGGCCGGCGGGCGTCTCAGCCGAAGCCCCCCGTTACCTCTCGTGGAGACTGTCATACGGCGTCGCCGTCGGGCTGGGACGGCTGCGTTCCACTCACAAAGTTATAAACCAAAAACTGAGACGTGCCAAAGTAATGCGTGGCGAAGAGTTTCCCGTCGGGCGTGGGGTCAGAGAAAGCGATCTCGTCTTTGCTCAGGTAGGAGCCGTATATGAAGTTGTTCCTGTGCAAGAGAAACAAAAACACCCAAGAGTCTCGACATGTTTTTTTTGCTTGTTGACGCGACACGTTTCTCGGGGGGGGTGTGGGGTGTGTGTGACGCACTGACCTGAGGCACTCGAGCATGCGCGAGGCGATGCCCCGGCGTCTCATCATGTTGACCACCCAGATGCGGCTGATGCCGCAGATGGCCGGCTCCGCTGACGTGGAGCAGCACCAAGCCCGCTGGCGTTCGAACATCACCTTTTCTCCCTCCGAACCCTCCGGGGTCGGCTCCTCGATCACCCGGTGTCCCTGTGATCATTCACCAGGCTCAGCTTGCGGGGAAACTAGCACGCCGGCTTTGTTGTTGTTGTTTTTGCATGATAAACGGGAGATCGCCGTCTCTTACCTCTTGGATGTGCTCTGCTATGAGGCAGCCGCCCACCTTCTTGTCATTGGAGATGAAGAGGAAGGTCTTAGTCTGAGAGGGACACTTGGTCTCCACCTGCTGGAAGCCCAGGTCGTTGTCCACCATCTCCCTGATCTCCTCCACCTGAGAAACAAACAGTTGCCGTCGAGTCGAGAAACAACATGCTCTGAAGCCGAAAAAAAATATCACCTAGTCTTTGTTTGCACAGCGAAAATAAAATATCCTTTAATTGATTTAGCAGATCAATCCCCAGCAGTGATTCCCACCAACGTCAAACAACCCTTTTAGGGGCAACGCGCCCACTAACTGTACCTTCTTCAGAGCATATTTGGGATCATCTGGCAGGACAAGAATGATCTTGCCATCTGGATACTCTGCTAATATCCTCTCCTTTTTCCACCCCTGAAATAAAGAAGCGGAGAAAAAAAGTGAATTTACGGAAGAAAAACATTTATTATAGCCACCATGAGAAATCTGTGTTCCTCACTCGATGAATAGAGTTCCTATCCGCTACTGATATTGTGTTTGGTAGTTGTGAGACCAATAAGACACGACCTGGAAGGAAACCTCCTCTCACCACATATTTGACAGCGCTGATGAACTGGTTGTGGAAAAGCAAATGTTGGGATTCGTCTTCAGGATTGGCAGCCGAGTAGAGCATCCCACACACGCTGCAGGCCACTGCTCCGAAATGCTTCTGTCCTGCATCCTACGAGACAAAGACGACACAGGTCACGCCTTTCATTCCAGGATGTACTCCTGACAAAATACGCAACACCTCCTCCAACTACCAGGAGTAATCCTCCTCAACTTGCCAGTTCTCAAACCTCCAGTTGCCTTGCCCTGTATAATAATAACAGACAGATGCTTACAATAATGGTTTGGGTGCCGTCCTTGTCAGCCTCCTTTAGTTTCTTCACTTCTTTTTGGAGGCAAGCATCAGAAAGGGGAGTCCTGCCATCCTGTGGCTCCGCTGCTCTGCTGTGACACAAACACACATCACATTACTTCAGACTCCCGATGCTACGAGGGAGAAAAAACGACTTGACTTGAGAGAAACTTCTCACTCTTGAGGCTCTGTTGATGTCTTCTCGTCTGAATGGACTTGGTCCGTCTTATTCTCCGGAGAAGGATCCACATCAGGGACTGTAAGAAAAGTAAAAAAGACCCATAAACACCAGAACACATTTTCTAAATGTAATAATAATCTCACTGAAATAATGTGACCTGTAAATAAATGCATACCGGCTGGCTTTTCTTCACTCCTCGGTGCGTCTTCTGACACTTGGGAGCTGCCGTCACAGGGAACGGCCGAGGTGGGATCCGCTGTATCCTGAGTGAGAAAGAGGCGGAGGGGTGAGCGACATATTTCCTCCAAAAATGCCGTCTGTGACACCCGTCAGGGCGTCATTTATTTTGGCGCTTACCTCGCATTTGCCGTCCTGTGGTGATGGTGCACTGGGGGCTTCCTGGGGCACGGAACCAACATCTGCCTTCGAAGCAGAGGGCGCGGGCGTGGTCGAACCGGAACCGGCGGCCTGAGACGCCGTCTGCTTGGGCGGAGCCTCGCTTCCGACCGGCTTCGACTGAGGCGAAGCAGACGCGGCGGGTTTCGACTGACCCGGAGCCGTCGCGGCTCTCGAACTTGCCGCCGTCGAAGCGGGAGTCTTCGACTGAGCTTCGACCGACGGTCCGGGGTCCGAAGAAGCCGCGGCGGCATCCGAGGCCTTCGATTGGGGAGCTGTGGAACCGGCGGGCTTCGACTGAGCTGAAGGTGCAACGCCGGGCTTTGACGGACCCGACATCTGTCCGGCAGCCGTGGTCGGGGCTTTGAGTTTCGCCTGGTGAGCAAGATGCGACGGAACTGTGGGCTTCGACTGACCAGCGGGTCTAGGTTGAGCTGCGGGGTTTAGCGGAGCGTTCGGTCGTGGCGGCTGCGTGGGCCTCGACTGAAGACCGGGCTTTTTTGCCGCTACCGGTAGCGGATCATCGTCGAGTTCAAAGTCATCAAAGGAATACTTGGGCCGGGGCCTGTATGGCTTGTACTCTACGGGCTTCTGTTTCTGCGCGCTGAGCCCATTCGGCATGGGCGGCGGCGCCGCCGGGAGCGTCCTCTTGGCTGCTGATCGGGTCACCTTTGTGGTGGGCGCCGGCGCTGGGGTCTCTTTCAGAGTTTGAGCCTTAGTTTGCCTCGTGGATTTACGGGTCCCGGCACTAGGAGTCACAGTTTTGTCAGGTTCAGGTTTAGTGGGTTCACTTTTAGAGGCTTCCGCTGTAGTGGGCTCAGTCTTGCTGGGTTCAGGCTTGGGAGGTTCAACCTTAGGGACTTCTGGCGGGGGCGTCGGGGGCTTGCCGCTTGTGGCAGGACTTGGGAGGGGTGTTTTTGAAGGGCTGGCTTCAGGCGGAGGGGCCGTGGTCACAGGACTCACAGAGAACGACGAGGATGCAGACAGGGGGAGCTGCCAGTCCATGTCTGAAAACATCTGATTTGCTTGGTCGGATTTCAGTTTCTTTACACGTGCCCAAGACATTTTCTCTCTCTGCAGTTCAACCTGCCTCAGTCTTTGATATCGGGTCAGCTTCTTCTTCTCGTGGGCTTTCAGCGGCACGGAGATCTGCGTGACGAAGAAGCGCCTCTTTGGAGGCTCCGCGGGGGGCTTGGCCTCGGCTGAATCGTCTGTCGAGGGCCGGGCCGTCGATGCTTCCTCGGCGGGGGTCACCGAAGCAGAGCTCCCTTCTGGTCCAGCAGGAGTAAGTACAGCGCTGCCCGCCTCTTGCTTGTGGACGGGAGTACTTTCCTTCTTGCTGGCTTCACTCTCGGCTGCTGCCACTGCTGCTGCCGCCGCCGCTGTTGCTGCCGCTGCCGCCGCCGCTAGTTTCTCTTCTTCGATCCTCTTCAACAACATGCTGTCCGTAGCGATGTCCTCTGCGATCTCCTGACACAAAGCTAAGAGGTTCAGCTGCTGTCTATTTGCTGTTCTCTTTGAGGCAGCAGCCTTTTCCTCGGCCAGAGCTGCCAGACGGGCTTTGGTCCTGGCCTGCGTGTTCATTTCTTGTTTCTTGGGTTTATCCGGCCCCGGTCTCTTTTTTTCTGCTTCAGACTTTACAGCAGCGCCGTCTTGCTGTGAACTGGTCCCACAAGTGTCGTCTTTAGTTTTCTCATCAACCCTTTTCTCGGACTCCTCAGGAGGGATGGCCTCGGGTGTTTCCTGGGGTTTTTCTATTATTTGAATGTCACCGTCTTCATCGTTCTCTTCTTCTGCTACTACGATCTCACGGCCGATCTCTATGTCCTCCAGAATCTGCACTTCTGGCAGGTCCAAATGAGCCTCAGCGTTCTCCGTCGCCAGCGCGTCGCAGTCTTCATTTGTGACTTGAGCGGGAGCGTTCGCCGTTTCAATCTCGGAGGTATCACTGTCCGTCATGGCGCATGATGGTAAGTGGCTCTGATCGGAATTCGGAGGAACTTCAACACCTTCCTCGGTAGAGATTTCCGTCAGCATGCTCCCGGGATCTAAAACCTCGTTCGTATTTGTGACTTTGATCTCGTCTGTTGTCGGACATTTCTGCGCTTCGGCCTCCGGGAAGACGGTTCGTTGGGAACCATTAAAAATCATTTCATTTTCCACATCACCTTCCACAGCGCTGTCTGGATTCACCTGCTCCAAAAGAGAGTCCGACAAACCCGATTCGGCGGCTGCTTGAGTGACAATATCGAAGTGAATTTCTCGCTCTTGGATCGCTTCCAAGATCACAAACTCCTCTGACGTACTGTCGGGAATCTCCACTTTGGCCGCGGCAGCAGACGTCGTCGTCGTCACTGTGACGTCTGAAACCTCCTGAGCTCCAGAGTCCTCCTGCACGTTGTCCAGAGACCCTGCGGCGCCGACGCAGTCCGGAGACCAATTCCTTTCACTTGTGTCCGGGGCATCTCCCGAGTGGCCATCTGGCACGCTGACGTCATCGCTAGAGCTGATTACTGCGACTTGCTTCACGTCCTCGCTCACGCGCCTCTGCTCCAACTGTGCAGGGACGCAACTCTCTGGCACTCTGACGGTGTGCGCTTGACTTTCAACTTCTTGGCCGCCTGCAAGGAAAACCTGTTGCTCGACATTTTCCAGTGGTTTGCTACAACGGTTTCCTTCATCAGTAGGCAAATCTGCTTCCAGCTGCTGGGCGCTCTGTATGTCCAGTAAAGACAAACCATTGTGGTTCTCTGACGCCGTGGAAATCTCTCGATCGTCGGTACTTTCCGGGCTACTAATGGGCTCATACACTATCTCAACCCCCGACTGACTCGCCGTCTTAATCTGCTCTTCCTCCGCCGGAGTTACGATATCAACGTTGTGCGGTTGGCCACAAACAAAAAGCATTACTTCATTGCTTCCGGTTCCTTCTGCATGTCCTTCAATATTACCGACTGCGACCACGTCGCCGTCGGCCTTATCGGAGGAAATGATTGCGACATCTTCTTTCACCTCATTAATCTCTCGCCCCCCGCTTGCCTCCTCTGAAGCAGAATCTGTCCCTCCTATTGCTGCACTTACTACATCCATATCCACTTGGACATCACCAGCACCGTGCTCCGTCGGCGTGTTTTCATTATCTTTACTTTCTGCCACGGAAGGAGATTTGGGAGTTTGATTAGATGAGGCCTCCATATCTTGGTTTTGCTGTTCCGCCGCAGTGGAAACCTCCTCCAGCGTTGCAGAAGTGTCCATATTTATCTCATCCTGTGGAACATCAACACATTCAGCCTCAACCGTGTCTTCGGTCTCCTCGCGCTCACAGCTTACGCCCACTAGATGCTTTTGAACTTCTGTGTGGCGTTCACTGACCTCCGGGCTCACAGGGCTTTGTATTTCCGCTGTAGGTGATGGATTAGACACCTCATCTGCCGTCGCTGTTGTTTGCGAATCCATTTCTGTTTGATTGTCAGTGGCATGCGCCCATTCTGCAAGAAGTTCTTCGGTGTTTTCTTCACGCTCTGTATTGGCATCAATACATTCTTTAAGTACTTCATCGACCTTCAGGGTTGTCCCGTTTTCTGTTTCTACTGCGGTTGGCTGATGAGAGGTCTCCTCTGGTGCTGCAGTCGTCTCTGAATCCACTTCCCCTTTATTCTCGGGTACCGTGACACTTTCTCTGTTTTCATTTCCATCGCTTTCATGGGTCTGAATCGTTGGACCCTCTTGAGCTTTCTCAGGTCCACCTGGTTGGAGGTGGATGAAGGCTGGTGAAGGATCGCTGACTTCTTGGCTCCTCTCGGCCCACATTTCTACTGCAGGCGCCGTGTTAGAGATCTCCGCTGCCGTTGCTGCGATGACCTCATTTGGACTTTTCTGAATTAGTATTTCCACTGTTGAAGCTGCGTTGGGTATCTCCTCTGAGGCCGCCGTAGTCTGCATGTTCTCTTCCCCTTGATGTCCAGAGACTAAGTCTGTAGCAGGTTGAAGGACTTCTGGGCTCCTCTGGTTCTGCGTTTCTACCGTAGGTGCCAAGTTGGAAACCTCCACCTTTTCCTCATGTTGATGTTTCTGACTTGGTATTTCCACTGCTGAAGCTGTGTTCGGTATCTCCTCTGAGGCCGTCGTAGTCTGCATGTCCACTGCTATTTGCCTTTTCTCCATTTCCGCTGAAGAGCCTGTATTTGAAACCTCTGGTGCCGATGAAGTCTGCATTTCCATTTTACTCTCAGGTAGATTCACAGATTGAAACTTGACTTTGTTTTCTTCCCCTTGATGTCTAGAGACTACGTCTGTAGCAGGTTGAAGCACTTCTGGGCTCTTCTGGTTCTGCGTTTCTACCGTAGGTGCCAAGTTCGAAATCTCCACCTTTTCTTCATGTTGATGTTTCTGACTTGGTATTTCCACTGTTGAAGCTGTGTTCGGTATCTCCTCTGAGGCCGTCGTAGTCTGCGGGTCCACTTCTATTTGCCTTTTCTCCATTTCCGCTGAAGACTCTGTATGTGAAACCTCTTGTGGCGTTGCAGTCTGCATTTCAATTTCTGGTATAATCACAGATTCAAACATGTTTTGTTCTCTACGACATCTAAACGCTACCTCTGTAGCAGCTTTGATGACTTCGGGGCTCTGCTGGTTCTGCGTTTCTACCGTAGGCGCCATCTCAGAAATCTCCACTGATTTTGCCGAAGTCGCCACGTCTCCTTCATGCTGATGTTTCCGACTTGGTATTTCCACTGCTGAAGCCGTGTTAGGCGTCTCCTCTGATGCTGTTGTAGTCTCCATTTCCACTGAAGAGTCTGTATTTGAAACCTCTTGTGGTGACGTATTCTGCATTTCCATTTCCCTCTCTGGTATATTCACAGAGTCAAACATGACTTTATTTTCTTCCCCATGATGTCCAGAAACTACGTCTGTAGCAGGTTCAATAAGGACTTCTGGGCTCTGCTGGTTCTGCGTTTCTACCGTAGGCGCCATGTTAGAAATCTCCACCTTTCCTTCATGTTGATGTTTTGGACTTGTTTCCACTGTCGGTGCCGTGTCAAGTGTCTCCTCGGAGGCCGTCGCAGTCTGCATGTCCACCTCTATTTGTCTTTTCACTATTTCTACTGAAGCTTCCAGATTTGAAACATCAGATGTCGATGTTGTCGGAGTTTCTAATTGGATTGGACTCTCTGGTGCAGTCACAGATTCAGATAAGTTTAACTGGTTTTCCACCTTGTGATCTTCATGATGTGCAGTAGATGTGTGTGTGGGAGTGTTTTCCTGACTTTTTACTTCCACTGTAGGTGCAATGTTAGAAATCTCCTCCGGTGTCCTGGCTTCTATTTGACCCTCAGTAGGAACAACGCATTCAGCCGGGGTCTCGCCTTCAGCTTGAACTGTCTGCACTTTATCAGGCGCGTCCATGGTGTGTTCACTGTCTTCCGGTCTCTTTGGGCTTTCGAATGCTTCTCTTGACGCGTGATTAGAAATCTCCGATGCAGTTATAGTGTTTTCCTCAGGACCACTACTAGTACATTCAAAGATGTCCTCCTTATCTTCAATTATTTTAGAATTCAACACACGATTCTCTGTGAATTCTGTAGATATGTCCGTGGTGTGTTCACAGGCGTCGGGGTTATTCTGGATTTGTATTTCCACTGCAGCCACTTGATTGTAAATCTCCTGCTCTAGTGATGCGGCGACACATTCAAAGCTTAAATCCGTTACTTTTTCTGTCATTTCCTCGCCTTGGACTTCAACCGGTATTCCTGAAGCGTGGTCTGCAACTTCGTGGCTTCCCTGGTTTTGTTTTCCCGCTTCAGGTGGCAAATCAGAGCGCTCCTCTGGGGATATTTTGGTCTGCATGTCCTCATCCCTTGGACCGTGTGACACTGCGACACGATCGGGGAGGGGCTCGCTTTGATTTTGCTCGAGGACAGACTCGCAATCTGGAGTCATTATTTCCGTACAGCTGTCGGCCGTTAGGTCCGGCATCTCTTGGAGCTCCGCAGAAGACTCGGGACCAGCGAGAGTCGGCGTCTCCGCGGCTCCCCTTTCACTTTCTTCAAGCTGCTCTTCAGACTCTGTTGCCAGCTTGTTCACAACGTCACATGATTGGGTAACTGTGCATGGCACTTCACGGCTCACTCGATCCGCCGATTCGGATTCCTCTTCGAAGGTAACTTGTATTTTGACACCGACGTCTGTTCGGGTCTCTGTTGGATGTTCATCAGTCTGACTTTCTGGATTATTGCCTACCAAGGTCTCCTCTGGTGCAGAGTTTGTTTCGTCAAACAATACGTTGTGTTCTACATCACCGTGGTTTGCAGAGACACTGGCTGATTCTATCACTTCCTGCACCACATGCTCTCCTCCCTTACTTCTACATTGGACATCCAGCTTTATCTGCTCAGAAACGGACTCCTTTGTTTCAGTCTCCCAGCTCACATCCGTCTCAACTATACAAACCGTAGTTTCATCTACCTGTACTTCACCTTCACAGCCTGGAACTGCCTCTCCAGAATACAGCGTTTCCACTGACACTGCCGGTGATTCATTATCCAAGTCCTTTTGGCTTTTGGTGACAAAGTCGGTCTTTTCATTATCCTCCGCCTCCTCAGACAGGATGCAAGGCGAACCTGCAGCTGCTGCAGTGACAGAGGCCAATATTCCTCCACATGATGCCTGTGTGTCATCATCTACGAGCTTTTGGCTCTCTGGATCTTTTAACTCCTCACGGAAACTTTCATCAGCTGTGCGTTCAAATACAATCCCGGCTTCTGCACTCCCTCCTATAGAGATACGAGTTTCCTCAGACTCTGCTCGTGTGGCATTAACTGACATTTCTTGCCCGTGTTGTTCGGTGTCAGACAGTCCAGATTCTTCATCGTCGCCCTGATTCTCGTCTCCCACACTCGAGTCGGAAAATCTACCATAGTTATGCTCCAACTGAACGGGGTCCGCGGGGGCAGGCGGCGGCGGCGACTCTCCGCTTGCCTCCCGCGTGTCGGATGCAGAGTCTTCAGCGGTGCGCTGGACTTTGAATTTATTAGAATATTTTCTCACGCAGCAGGCCTCGTCGCCATCGATCCTCTCTCTGAAGAGGTCGGCCTTACTGCCGTCACTACTCAGTTCATCCTCGGACTCTGTGGAGGCGGTTCGCTTCAGGGCGGCTTTGGTGTTTGCGTTCTGTGAGGGAGCTTCTCCGCCGGAGGCACTTGTGGCTTTTAGGAGCTTGGCTTTTATGACGGGTGGATCACTAACGGTTCTGCTGGAATCTTTTGGAGGGGAACTCGGTTTGGACGACTTGGCGGGTTTATTCCCCCATTCCACTGAAGTACAAAGTTTTTTCTTAGTCCGCGGGTCGGAAGCATTTTCTTGTGTATTTCCAGTTACAAAGGAGCGATTGTTGGCAGCTGGTGAAGTTTTGGATGGCAGATCCTCTCCATCATCGTCCAACTTCCTCATCTTGGGCTGAGAATCACGAGGAGATGCTCCTCTCTTTGGGGCTGGCATTCTGTCAAAATATGTGACAAGACAAAATTAAGATAGCTAGTTAACAGGGGAGAGGCAACATATGGCAATATTTCCATTTAATAAAATCACAGTCATCCTGCAGTTTCTCTTTTCCTTCTAGGTTAACGGAAAGGTGATGAGGTAAATACAGAGTATTTCTCTCCAAACGACATGACAAAAACGCTCCGTGTCCACATTCCATTAGTACGTTCAACAATAGTGTGACATTAGTTTGAGCCTACAATCGTTTCCTAAATGGTTACCCTGGTGTCCCAACAAACCACAAGGCTAACGGTGCACATAAACAATGATAAATCGTAGTTCCATCAGGTGGCTACCGAGTCACACGACGCGCGATCGACATTTAATCGACCGTCAAATCCAACGTTGCATTCAATAAAGCACCGATAGTCTGACAGTCGATGGAGATTCTTGGCACCAGGAGTTGTGGGGGCAGTTAGAAATGCTCAGCTAGCTAGCTAGCTAGCGCTGGCTAGCGCCGCTAGCTGGAAGTCCACAGTGATGGGAGCTAACGCTAGCAGCGGCCAACTCGCAACAAATGAGCGAAACGAGACTCGCCGATCAAGTCCGTGAAAACCGGAGGAAGACAAAGAGGGTGCAGAGAGCAGAGGATAGTCCTTATTGTGCTAACGTCTGCGAAAAGATAGAGCCAAGGCATCCATAAATGAAACTCACTTTGATGTTTTCTTTTTCAACAACAGCTGTTTTTTTTTCTTTCCTGTGAATAAAAATTAACTGTACTTCCGGAGGGAAACAACGGATGTGACGTAGGGGCCCCTCCAGGAACGTTTGAGATCAGGGCTGAAGTTTTGGAAATGAGGCTGCTACTTTATTTATTTATTATAGACAAATGCAGATGTATGTATATATCACATTTGAATAAATGAATGATCATAGACTTAGTTTGGCTGTTGGAAGTTGATACATTCTGAATTTAAGGAATTAGACAACCCCGAAAAAGAAAACTGAAAAAAAAGAAAACTCACTGAAGGTTTTTCAAGAAAAAAAGAAAATCTCATTCCAACCGATTGTATACAGGCTCACGCTTAGAGACCAAGGTAGAAAATATTTCCATTTTCTGCTACTCTTTACTTTATCTCCACAACACCGTTGCAAATATTATACTTACTCCACTACATTTTGCGATTTTATTCTTCAATGACTGACGATTCAGCTTATTACGAAAAAATATAAATCAACTAATCAATTATGATCACCATGCACTTAGTTATGGTTTGCTTCAAAGCATCTGTTCTTCAATTCAATCTTTTAAGGCACAAAACCATTCAATATTTGGTGAACTAAAAGCATATCTGTATATCTCACTAACATCATAGTTAGTCAAATTTGTAATTAGTTGCACATTAAGTCTGAACATCAAATCAGGCTGTAATATTTATATAATGTGAAGTCTGACTAAATTAATTACAGTTTTTCCTGTTTTTAAATTTGTTGATGTTTACATGATTTAAATAGATATTTTGTGCAATTATAACAAACCTATATACTTTCCGTTTGCCAATGTGTTTAACTGTAGACACCGTAGCAATAAAAACAATATTTTCTCCTCAGAATTGATTCACAGCATGAACACAAACCCAAAACAGTTTTAATGAGTTTATTTTTAGAGGTTGCGGATTTGGTTTCATTACTAAATCACATTAGTGGCAAGCAAAACAAATAAAGCACTTTATAATGTTTAGATTTAAATATACAAAGATAATCAATACTAAAGATATGTTTTGGCAGAGGGAAGGTGATATCCATTGATCAATCTACTGACAGGAAATCCAAAACAACAGGGGGAAGGTAAAAGCATCAATTTGAACACTGAGGGAAAAAACATCCTTGTTTATTTTTTCAACTCCAGGATTCCGCTTCTTGGCCCGCGCTTCTTTGCACTGCAGATGTTACAAAACTGCACCCCAGGAACCTGAAAGAGGGAAAAGATGCAGAAGTCTCAAAAGAGAACAGCCAAGTAATATTTAACATTCTCAGAAGAAGAAAGATTAGCAAGTAAGACCCCAAAGTTTAATTTTAGAACACATATCATATATGTGTATAACAATTTTAATCTACTTTTAAAAGAAGAGACTGTTGTAGCAGACCTTAGATTTTGTAGTATCTAACTTAAAAGATATATCCAAGAGTATAAAATTCCAGGACTCCATATCAAATGGAGTTACAAACAGAAACCGACATATTGAAGTAGCTTACTGTTCCTGAAGATGGTAAACATTCCTTGTGAAACATGTGTCTGCAGTGAAACACAACCACACTGAAGGGTTTGGCCATATCTGAAACACAGGTGTGAAAAACAAAAACCAAAAAAATAGCAATAAATAGTTTTTAAATAAAACAAAGTAAAAAAATAAAAATACTTGGAAACAACTACACAGAAAACTCACCTGAAGGTAATATTGCAGCATGACATGATTCACAAATGTTCTCCTCTGAAAATAAAAAAACAACACCTGCATGAGTACCGTTTAAAAATGACTTCATCTGCACTGCTTCTGCATGAAGCCAAAGACAGTGAACGCACCGTCGACCCGGACTCCCCTCATCTGTGTTCGGTGCATCTTCTGGAGCAGCGAGAGGGAGTCGGCCACCAGGATCTTCTTACAGCCTTCCCGCAGAAGAATCTTAGGAATTAGAAAACAAACGTTGGCTAATAAGTTCAACAACATGAGATGATAGTTGTAGGGCTGAGCAATTAAATGAAAAAATAAAATCTCTCTATATATATTTCTTATTATTTTCGCCTAAGAAATGACTTAAAGTACAGCCAGAGTAATAAGAAATGTTGCTACTGAGGTCATACAATCCACATAAATACTGAAATGATGTTATTTCACAATGACATTAACCCAGCAACATGATTTTGCCCTATTAATTATCCAGTAAGAAAATAAATCCCATTTCTGTGTTTACAAAATAAAAAGGCTCCAATTATATCAAATCCGCACCCGGCTATAGAACTCCATCTTTGAGTTCTTTTGTTAATTTTTTTTAAGTAGTCAAAAATCAACCCTAAACTGAATATACTGGTTTTCATCCTTTATTTCAACTTTCTAAATAGACACTGATTTACTTACTTGTAGATTGTAGTCCTGGAGGATTTTTACTAGTGAGTCCCTGAGGTTTGGGATTTCCATGCCCTCCTTGATGCGATGGATGAGCAGGATGGGATCCACATGAGTACCGATGTTATTGAGGAGCCCCGTGATGAATGCTGGCGAAAAATAAATATTATGAAAGCAAGAAAATGACAAAAAAATGATAGAATGACGGGGTCAATGAGAGACTGTATCCTACGTGGTTTATCAATAGAATAAGAGATGAGATCCTCCCAGAGCTCGGCATCGTCCTGCTCTTTGGCAAACTCAATGGCCTTGTCCACGTCCTCCAGCTCCTCCATGATCATCTGCAGAGCTCGTCTGCAGTTCCCCATCCTACCTGAGAGCCAACGTGCTGGATTAGTTTCCTTTGAATCGTCCACAGCGCTCTCCAAGCAGGAAGACAGACCTTAACGTAACACCTACTGAGCAGGAAGACTGTCTCCTCTACAAAGTTCCTCTGCTGGCAAACCTCCAGAGCCTGACAGAAAAGAGGAGACGACATAGTTCACGTCTCGTAGCGTCTGGAAACTCGGATGTGCAGCACGATGACGTGTGAGAAATGCACCTTTTCAAGCGGGCAGTGTGTGCTGTCTCTGAGGAAAGGCAAGAGATTGGGACGGTCATACTCGGCATAGAGGACGATCTGTTTCTCGTGGTACTTTTGGCCTTTGTGGTGATCCCGCTTAAACAGTTTATGGAGATACTGTGGGGAGAAGAGACAAGTCAAATCAGTTCTCGATTAAATTTGGAGAGTTAATACGGTTGTATTTATTCATCTCGACGCACCACGTGCAGAAGCTCGGGCCTGTCGGCCAGTTCTTCCACCACCCTGTCTGTCTGTTAGCAGGGAGGAGAAAGGGGATCAGTGTGGCTGCAGATATTCATCACGTCCATAATCAAATACTGAGAGAGACCGGGAACACTTACCGATATCTTGTCCTCGTTGTCGAGAAGCATGTCAACAGCTTTCTGACGACGTCAAATTAGAGAATGCATTACTCGAGAGAAGTGAAAGTGAAAATAATAAAATGTGCACGTTTTTTCCGGGGCCTTTACTTCTTTGTCGAAGTCCATGAGTAGTATGATCTTGTCCTCTATGGAGGAGAAAAGGTCGTGTTTGTGGATCAGCTGGTAAACGTCTTTGTGCCTCAGTCTCAGGTAGATTTCCAAGGCTCTGTCGTACCGCTGGTCGTACGTGTATCTGCAACCGCATCAAAGTTAAACAGGTTAAAGAATCAAATTTGATTTCGTGGCCTCCTTAATTTATTGAAAGAGGCTCCAGTCGGGATTTTACTCTCATAAATACCAAATAAGTGTCACTGAATTCCATACAAACGGGTATCAAACTATGGACAAGACTTTTTTCTGTACATTTTTTTTACAATTATTATTTTTTCCCCCATTAAAAACAGCAACGTGTGTTTGAATATTTCCCTTAGTATGTATGAAATTGGCAGATAAATGCACAGGTTGAATTCCCTTACAGTTCAGCTAACGTGGTGAGCAGCGTTCTGTTGGCGGGGTCCCTCTTCAAGTGATCGTTGACTGCCTGAACGATGGCCATGTTATTATAAAGCTCTCCAGGCCATTCCCGGATCAGCGTGGCAAAACCCTGCGAGGACAACAAAACCTTTAGCACGACCATCAAGCAGTGGACGAACTGTGCAGGATGCGCAGGCCCCTCACAGATGTAGTACCTCATAGTCAGTTTTGAGAAATTCATGCAAGATCATTTCGTAGATGGCCGGTCTGAGACGCAGATCTCCTCTGGGCAAATACTGACTGATGGCCTGAAAGTAGAGAGGAGGCGGAGTAATGTTGATAAGAGAAGACACAAGACATGCATCACAATTCATCAACATGTCACCAAACAAACTCATTCCAACAATGAAGGTCCATCTAGGGTCAGGAAGTCCTACCTTAAGCTGTCCAATGGTCTTGAACCGGTATACTTCATTTTCCCATAGTTCCATGTTTTTTCCAAGAACCTTCTGACACTTCCTGAATAAGAAGAAGCAAACGGATCATTGAGAGGGAACAAGGACATTCTGACAGAGTAAATTAATAAAGAATGTTGAATACAACATATTCTGAACAACATATCAGGGGGTTAGGTTACTATCCAAAAAATAAAATAAAAGAACAAACATTAAAACAATAAACAAGAATAAAGGTTGCAGTGTGGTTTATTAAATTAACTGTAAAAGCATCCACTTCATCCTTGAATGTGATTTAATTAAAAGGCAACAGCAAACGGTCTTCAGTCTTAATTTAAAGCCGCTGAGAGTCTCAGCAGAGATATGTGGATTCGAACCATCAATCAGTGCACATTTTATTTATAACGCACACTTCATCAGCAGATCGCAAGAGTGCGACAGAGATTGTCTCCTTCTACAATAACAAAAAAGAGCTTGACACATTCTGCTTAGCACAATATATAAAGTTTCTTTAATAAGGAGTAAAAAAGACAAATATTTAACCACTTATTAAATGGATCATCTGACCGTCTACTTGCAGAAGTTAGACTCACCTCGCAGCAGCGTCGTAGTCTCCTTTCTCCACTAAGTGATTGATGTAACCCATCCCAATTTTCTGAACGTCATGTCTCTTGATGTTTTTGAAGCTGATCTCGGCAGCCATTAGCGCCTCCTGTCGCAGCAACAGGAGACACAGTCCAACTGTATA